TGCCCCAGCGACAACCAATGGCGAGGCGTGGCGGGGCCGGCCGCTCGACGTGGGGAGCTGGAGAGGCCCCGCCTCCACTTAAAGAGACAGGAAGGGGGTGAAGGTGGGGGAATCTCGGTCGTGTGGCCCGCGGCTTTGGGGTTCCTTCGCCTCGCAGCCTGTACTGGGAATGGGGCTGCAGCGGGTCACGGGCGGGAGAGACCCTGCCCCAAGTCCCTCCACTCATTTTCCCGGGGTTCTGTATCGCCGGGTCCCGCTCCGGCACCGAGCCTCTCCTGTGCGCTCAGATCGCTCCAGAGCCGCCGCACTGCCGGCGAATCTTTCTTTGCACAATGGAGTTAATTGGCTTTGTGTGTAAAGCGCCTCAGGAGCAGCCTGAAGGAGATTATGGCCCGGGCGTGGGATGAGGGGCTATGACACTGCGTTGGCGAGGACACGAGACTGCTCAGGGGCGTCGAATAAAGCTCGCATCAACTCCTCAAGATTCCGGGGGTGGGGAAGTGCCAACAACTACGCACGTACACTGATTTTATTTTTATTTTTTTTACCTCTGTCGTAAGCAGGGGATGCACCAATGCTTAGGGGCACTCACCCTCAGACCCCTTTGTTTCGCCGGGTGTTTCACAAACTATAGTTAAAAGCAGTTTATCATTGATTCTGTTCCAAGTGTAACAATTAATGCAGTGCAAATGTCCTCACCTTAGGTACTTTGAACCCCTGCCTGTGTTTCCCTAAAATGAAGCCTTAACCCGCTTGTTTTTTCAGAGTGCCATTTTCAGTACATTACCATTTAACCTCAGAGCTCAGCTGAGGGTGTTCTCGGTCCTATTCTTTAAACTTCAAAAAAGTAACAATTCAGTCTTCCAGAACACTGTAAGTCTGTTTTATCTGAGAGATTTACTGTTCGTCTGTGAGCATGCAATGAGCTCGGGGAGAGCTCATTTAACCTTGGCCCTTAGATGGCTGAATAGCTCTTTAGAGGGAAGAGGAGCTGGATCTGTCATGCACTTTACCAATCTGATCACAAACCACCACTTTGGTAGGTGTAGCTTGTATTTCCTCTGCCTTGTTATTGAAGGGTCCTGAGCACAATGAATACTCTTAGAGCCAAACATTTGATGGGAGGTAGACCTGAATGCATAAAGTTCTCTCCTCGAAATAACTTTTCCCCTTTATTTAAGTCTACAACAATCGAAGTACTCTAAGACAGGAGGATATGTCCTGATCCCTACAGCTTTACTTAAAGGTCTTTCCAGCTGTTCACTCAACTAGTAAATATTTAGTACTTTGTGGCTCTTTTTCTCCAATGTCTGACTGCAAATACTTGGTCCCTTGGCTACAAAGAACCCTTTGCTTCAATCTCTACACAGTCTAAGGCCACATCATCAATGCCTTCAACACCCTGTTTTCAGTTTGGGCATCTAGTCCCAGCTGCTATCGCCTCAGGGTGGGGAGACCTACTTCCAGGCACATT